GCCCGTGCCTGTTCCACTGGTGCCTGGTCCGGCACCGGTCAGATGCGTTACGCCGGAGCTAGAGCAATCCGCTCCATCAGTGTGCAGTCCAGCTCCGGCCAGCGGGGCCAGACCGGACCAGGGGTACTTTGGGGGGTTGGAGAGGGAGTGGGGATTAGGCCCGGAGCCGGATCCGCCGCCAAGGCGGAGTGCCCACCCGGTCCCTCCCCTGTGGTATTTAGTTGGCGCGGTCGGAGTCCGCGCCTTTAGGGGGGGGTACTGTCACGCCCTGGCTCTGGGGACACTGTTATGTTGAGCTGGGTGTGTAGATCTATGTATTCTATTTCTATGTTGGGTGTTCTAGTTGGTTTGTGTTAGACCGTTGACTGTCACGTTATCGTTTTTGTTTGTGTTATCCTTCAGTGTTAATAAATATGTTTGCATTCAACGCTGCGCATTGGTCCTCTGTTCCCGACGATCGTGACACTTAACTGAATTGTCTAGTTAAATAAAGGTAAAATAAAAAAAATATAAAATAAATACTCCCAAGACATGCTAACCTCTCATAAACAATAACAGGGGAGGTTAGCATTTTTTGGGGGGTAAGATATTTATGCCACTGCAACTATTTCACTCATCATTATTCATGATTCATTCAGGATTATCCGTAATCATGGTAGCAACCACCTTAATCTAGAAGTGTTTATTCATAGTATAATTTCAAATCCAAAGTGCTGGAATACCAAGCCAAAACAACAACAACAAAAAGCACTGTCCCAATACTTTTGGAGCCCACATGAGTGATCAAGCTTTAAGAGCTGGGGGGGAGGAAGAGGCAGTCCACTCCCTCTGTTCTCTCTGTTCTCTCTGTTCTCTCTGTTCTCTCTCTCTCTCTCTCTCTCTCTCGCTTGGTCCTGGGGCCCAGCTGGACACCAACGTCACTGCAGCGATTTGTCTGCCGCACTTCCGAACCTCACTGAGTTTTTTGAAAGCTCTAATCCCAACTTGGCTCAAAGAGAAGGGTGTAAGAGCAGGGGTTCTGTAGGCCTGCCATTGTTTCAGGTGATCACTTCAGAGAGACTATTCTTAAGACGGATAGGTTTTTTGTTGCATATCTCCACAGAAATATAGATAGCTGACTTCTGAAGACTTTTGCGGCAAAGCAGGAACATACACACTAGAGTAGGTCAGCGCAGGGCTAGGTGGGGTGTTCTGACCCTAATCCATTTTCTTCCTACAAAACAATAAATCTTCCTCGGCTAACCGAGTGTGCTACACTGTGTTGCTCCTCTACTCGCAACAGCTGAGATAAACAATGCTTGTGCGTCTTATATTTTTCTTGCTTCTAATCACAGCCTGTGTAAGCCTGTGGAGCTTGTTCCCTGACCCCCTTGGGGGACACCCAAAATGAGGACTGTGCTTCTATGGCTGCGTTTACACAGACACAGCCCATTTCTGATATGTTTTTCACTAATTGGTCTTTTGACCAATCAGATCAGCTGTAAAAAAGATCTGATGTGAAAAGATCTGATCTGAAATCCAATTAGTGAAAAAAAGATTTGGGCTGCCTGTGTAAACACAGCCTATTACAAAATGCCCTACACATCACATTCTGAATGTGGTTTCATAAACAAGATCAAAACTATGGCCCCCTCTTATTCCTCACTCCATAGTCCAATGGGCATTGTCTGATTGAAGTATGGGAATGGGTGTTGTTTTCTGTGACACGTCTACACAGAGAAATGATAGACACCTCACCCCATTGGGAAAAGGACACACACAGACAGACAAGCACACACACACACACACACACACACGCACACACACACACACACACACACACACACACACACACACACACACACACACACACACACACACACACACACACACACACACACACACACACACACACACACACACACACACACACACACAGCGAAAATGGATGTCCTGAACTCAGCAGAGGTGAAGCTGCCTTTGGATAAGAACCAAAACGGGATTGCATTTGTTTAAAAGTCACAATTTTAACAGAGATACAGCTCCAGACATTTACTGCAGAAAAGGCCCATTGCTGTTTTATGAATGTGACAAAATGTAAATTACGATTTGGCAGAACAGTGCCGTCATGCAAACAAAATATGGTCTCTTTGGAAATCATATTGCATTTCTAGTGTTGCCATTTGTAAAGGGGAGTGGAGTCAGACAAGAGAGGCTGGGATGGAGAGAGAGGGAAATGATGCCAAAATGAACCATAAGGATATATGTCTGGAAGTACCGAATTACAATGTTTTGTGCTGTGAGTTGGAAAAGGTTTCAGAGAGAATTTTGAGTAAAGTGATTCCCCATCTGAATTGAGTTCATTGCGGAACGAACATCAACCTTTTATCTCGACAACATCTCTTTGCTGCTTTCATCAATTGAAATTGTAAGCGTCTCGTCAATGCTTTCTGCTGCCCTCCTCTTTCCTCCTCCATGGCCTCGTGATCAATGGTAATAAAGTAACTGACTAATTGCCTACAAAAAGGTGGATAATGGGCTTCCGGGCTGGCTAGCAGGTCAGGGTTTGATTGCAGTGTCGGTAGATTCTGGAACAGGCTTAATTTGGTATGATTCTGATGGAAGAATACGTTTTCCTCTGCTTATTAGTTATATCAGTGAGTCAAATGGCCCGTCTAGTAAGTGATTGTGAATATGAGTCTGAGTTTGTCGGGGAGTCCAGTAAAAGTGAGAGGGAATGTGAATCGATTCAATGAATTTGCCAAGTGAGAGAGAATGTGAATTGATTATATGAATTAGCCAAGTGAGAGTGAATCGATTCAATTAATTAGCTAAGTGAGAGGGAATGTGAATCGGATGCAATTTGGGATGTGACAAATAGAGAAAACAAATATTTTCTAAAATGCCATTTTTTTTGGGGGGGGGGGGGGGGGGTTGTGTCCTCCTAGACCAAGGTGCACTGCATATTAAGGCAGGGCGTGTTATTTAAGCGTTTCATAATGGCGGTGCAGTGCGCCTGGCTGGAGGACTGAGGGTGGTGCCTCCTCATCTCGGCTCATTAACTTTTTTTTTTTTTGTCATTTAGCAGACGCTCTTATCCAGAGCGACTTACAGTTAGTGAACACATATTTTTTTATACTGGCCCCCCGTGGGAATCAAACCCACAACCCTGGCGTTGCAAACGCCATGCTCTATCAACTGAGCTACATCCCTGCCGGCCATTCCCTCCCCTACCCTGGGCCAATTGTGCGCCGCCCATGAGTCTCCTGGTCGCGGCCGGCTGCGACCACTGCGCCACTCAGGATTCTCTTTAATGCAATGCAGAGGTGAAGAAGCTATCCATTCCACTTCCTCTCTCCCCCGACGTCGGACAAGCTGATTGAGGTGAGGCGAAGGCCAAGTAAAGCGACAACGGCGAAGTAAGTGTAGCCTGGTCCCAGACCTGTTTGTGCTGTCTTGCCAACTCCCTTGGTCATAGAAGGCAAGACAGTACTAACTTATCTGAGTGAATGAGGCGTCATCACTAACCCTCGTGGGAAATGGGAACAGCCTCTGCCTCTGGCTTTTAAGGTAAGAGTTTGACTAAGTTAGGATGGGTTGAGTTGTTAGAGCACTCACCATTGTACATTGATGTCATTGACACCACATTGGACATTGACGTCATTGACACCACATTGGACATTGACGTCATTGACACCACATTGGACATTGACGTCATTGACACCACATTGGACATTGACGTCATTGACACCACATTGGACACCACATTGGACATTGACGTCATTGACACCACATTGGACATTGACGTCATTGACAGCACATTGGACATTGACGTCATTGACAGCACATTGGACATTGACGTCATTGACAGCACATTGGACATTGACGTCATTGACACCACATTGGACATTGACGTCATTGACACCACATTGTACATTGACAAAGGAGGGGTGTTCTTCCCACCCTCCATCTGGCAGCATGAGGACCCTCCGCCACACTACGGATGGGGGGAATGAAAGGGGGATGTAATAAATGAATAAATAAAAAGGTCACGTCGAGCCATTTTCATAAAAGCTCATTAACTTTTATTTGCGGCAGAAGATGTCGTCGTAATTAGAATAACAGAGATTGGGCTAATGAAATTACAACAAACACTGGCAGAGTGGAACCACACATAATAATGGGGAGCTCACGCCTTCCTGCCACAGACTAACGGGAGATTACTGGCACACAACCTTTCAAGGAGATTGAGGTGGGTTCGTCATCAGAGTGTCGAAGTGAGAGTGTGTGTGTGTGCGCGTGCGTGTGTGAGAGTGTGTGCGCGTGTGCACATACACTCATGGTTATAGCCTACTTCATGAGGGAGGGAATGGCCGGCAGGGATGTAGCTCAGTTGGTAGAGCATGGTGTTTGCAACGCCAGGGTTGTGGGTTCGATTCCCACGGGGGGCCAGTATGAAAAAATAAAAAATGATGTATGCACTCACTAACTGAATGAAGTTCACATGTGCATGTCCATTCTATGAGCTATGAGTGTCCCTTGCCATTACTCACATGAACAAACGTGTTAAATGGAGAAAGCTCTCCGACAACCACAGGAATCAATCTAGTAACCTTAATGGGCTGGTATCAAATCCCCTTCTATCCTACAAACCCCTTCTGCCCTTCAGAAGATAATCAAGTAATTAAATTACTGCAAATTATAATGAGGTATGGAAATCAGTGCCCATTATTTATTCAAATAGCTGGATATGTATTATTCAAATTGGATTTACAAAATCAGGCATATTACTGCGACCCTCCACCCTCCCTAACCTGTTAGAAACCTGGTCCTCCACTCTCCCTAACCTGTTTGATACCTGGTCCTCCACTCTACCTAACCTGTTAGATACCTGGTCCTCCACTCTACCTAACCTGTTAGATACCTGTCCCTTCACTCTACCTAACCTGATAAATACCTGTCCCTCCACTCTACCTAACCTGTTAGATACCTGATCCTCCACTCTCCCTAACCTGTTAGATACCTGGTCCTCCACTCTACCTAACCTGTTAGATACCTGGTCCTCCACTCTACCTAACCTGTTAGATACCTGGTCCTCCACTCTACCTAACCTGTTAGATACCTGGTCCTCCACTCTACCTAACCTGTTAGATACCTGGTCCTCCACTCTCCCTAATCTGTTAGATACCTGGTCCTCCACTCTACCTAACCTGTTAGATACCTGGTCCTCCACTCTACCTAACATGTTAGATACCTGGTCCTCCACTCTACCTAACCTGTTAGATACCTGGTCCTCCACTCTGTCTAACCTGTTAGATACCTGGTCCTCCACTCTACCTAACCTGTTTGATACCTGTCCCTCCACTCTCCTTAACCTGTTAGATACCTGGTCCTCCACTCTACCTAACCTGTTAGATACCTGGTCCTCCACTCTCCCTAACCTGTTAGGTACCTGGTCCTCCACTCTACCTAACCTGTTAGATACCTGGTCCTCCACTCTACTAACCTGTTAGATACCTGGTCCTCCACTCTACCTAACCTGTTAGATACCTGGTCCTCCACTCTACCTAACCTGTTAGATACCTGGTCCCACTCTACCTACCTGTAGATACCTGTCCTCACTCTCCCTAATCTGTTAGATACCTGGTCCTCCACTCTACCTAACCTGTTAGATACCTGGTCCTCCACTCTACCTAACCTGTTAGATACCTGGTCCTCCACTCTCCCTAATCTGTTAGATACCTGGTCCTCCACTCTACCTAACCTGTTAGATACCTGGTCCTCCACTCTACCTAACATGTTAGATACCTGGTCCTCCACTCTACCTAACCTGTTAGATACCTGGTCCTCCACTCTATCTAACCTGTTAGATACCTGGTCCTCCACTCTACCTAACCTGTTTGATACCTGTCCCTCCACTCTCCTTAACCTGTTAGATACCTGGTCCTCCACTCTACCTAACCTGTTAGATACCTGGTCCTCCACTCTCCCTAACCTGTTAGATACCTGGTCCTCCACTCTACCTAACCTGTTAGATACCTGGTCCTCCACTCTACCTAACCTGTTTGATACCTGGTCCTCCACTCTACCTAACCTGTTAGATACCTGTCCCTCCACTCTCCTTAACCTGTTAGATACCTGGTCCTCCACTCTACCTAACATGTTAGATACCTGGTCCTCCACTCTCCCTAACCTGTTAGATACCTGGTCCTCCACTCTACCTAACCTGTTTGATACCTGGTCCTCCACTCTACCTTACCTGTTAGAGACCTGGTCCTCCACTCTACCTAACCTGTTAGATACCTGGTCCTCCACTCTACCTAACCTGTTAGATACCTGTCCCTCCACTCTCCTTAACCTGTTAGATACCTGGTCCTCCACTCTACCTAACCTGTTAGATACCTGGTCCTCCACTCTCCCTAACCTGTTAGATACCTGGTCCTCCACTCTACCTAACCTGTTAGATACCTGGTCCTCCACTCTACCTAACCTGTTTGATACCTGGTCCTCCACTCTACCTAACCTGTTAGATACCTGGTCCTCCACTCTACCTAACCTGTTAGATACCTGGTCCTCCACTCTACCTAACCTGTTAGATACCTGTCCCTCCACTCTCCTTAACCTGTTAGATACCTGGTCCTCCACTCTACCTAACATGTTAGATACCTGGTCCTCCACTCTCCCTAACCTGTTAGATACCTGGTCCTCCACTCTACCTAACCTGTTAGATACCTGTCCCTCCACTCTCCTTAACCTGTTAGATACCTGGTCCTCCACTCTACCTAACCTGTTAGATACCTGGTCCTCCACTCTCCCTAACCTGTTAGATACCTGGTCCTCCACTCTCCCTAACCTGTTAGATACCTGGTCCTCCACTCTACCTAACCTGTTAGATACCTGGTCCTCCACTCTACCTAAACTGTTTGATACCTGGTCCTCCATCCCCTAACCTGTTTTGATACCTGTCCCTCCACACTCCTAACCTGTTAGATACCTGGGCCTCCACTCTACCTAACATGTTAGATACCTGGTCCTCCACTCTACCTACATGTTAGATAAACCTGGTCCTCCACCTCCCTAACCTGTTAGATACCTGGTCCTCCCCCTCTCCCTAACCTGTTAATACCTGGTCCTCCACTCTACCTATCCTGTTAGATACCTGGTCCTCCACTCTACCTAACCTGTTAGATTTCCTGGTCCTCCACTCTACCTAACCTGTTAGATACCTGGTCCTCCCCCTCTCCCCAACCTGTTAGATAAACCCGTCCCCCCCCTTTCCCAATCTGTTAGATACCTGGTCCTCCACTCTCCCTAACCTGTTAGATACCTGGTCCTCCACTCTACCTAAACCCGTTAGATATCTGGTCCTCCCCTCTCCCTAACCTGTAGATACCCGGTCCCCACTCTACCCTAACCTTTAGATACCTGGGCCTCCACTCTACCTACCTGTTAGATACCTGGTCCTCCACTCCTCCCAACCTGTTAGATACCTGGTCCTCCACTCTACCTAACCTGTTAGATCAAGGTCCTCCACTCTTTCTAAAACCCGTTAGATACCTGGTCCTCCACTCTACCTAACCTGTTAGATACCTGGGGCCTCCACCTATCTAAACCCGGTAGATACCTGGTCCTCCACTCTACCTAACCTGTTTTATACCTGTCCCTCCACTCTCCTTAACCTGTTAGATACCTTTGGGCCTCCACTCTACCTAACCTGTTAGATACAAGGTCCTCCACTCTACCTAACCTGTTAGATACCTGGTCCTCCACTTTTACTAACCGTTAGTACTGGTCCTCCACTCTATCTAACCTGATAGATCAAGGTCCTCCACTCTATCTAACCTTTTAGATACCTGGTCCTCCACTCTATCTAACCCGATAGAACAAGGTCCCCACTCTACCTAACCTGTTAGATACCTGATCCTCCACTCTATCTAACCTGATAGATACAAGGTCCTCCACTCTACCTAACCTGTTAGATACCTTGTCCTCCACTCTCCCTAACCTGTTAGATACCTGGTCCTCCACTCTACCTAACCTGTTAGATACCTGTCCCTCCACTCTCCCTAACCTGTTAGATACCTGTCCCTCCACTCTCCCTAACCTGTTAGATACCTTGTCCTCCACTCCACCTAACCTGTTAGATACCTGTCCCTCCACTCTCCCTAACCTGTTAGATACCTTGTCCTCCACTCTACCTAACCTGTTAGATACCTGGTCCTCCACTCTACCTAACCTGTTAGATACCTGGTCCTGCACTCTTCCTAACATGTTAGATACCTGGTCCTCCACTCTACTTTACCTGTTAGATACCTGGTCCTCCACTCTACCTAACCTGTTAGATACCTGGTCCTCCACTCTACCTAACCTGTTAGATACCTGGTCCTCCACTCTACCTAACCTGTTAGATACCTGTCCCTTCACTCTACCTAACCTGTTAGATACCTGGTCCTCCACCCTACCTAACCTGTTAGATACCTGGTCCTCCACTCTCCCTAACCTGTTAGATACCTGGTCCTCCACTCTACCTAACCTGTTAGATACCTGTCCTCCACTCTACCTACCTGTTAGATACCTGGTCCTCCACTCTACCTAACCTGTTAGATACCTGTCCCTCCACACTCCTTAACCTGTTAGATACCTGGTCCTCCACTCTACCTAACATGTTAGATACCTGGTCCTCCACTCTACCTAACATGTTTAGATACCTGGTCCTCCACCTCTCCCTAACCTGTTAGATACCTGGTCCTCCACTCTCCCTAACCTGTTAGATACCTGGTCCTCCACTCTACCTATCCTGTTAGATACCTGGTCCTCCACTCTACCTAACCTGTTAGATACCTGGTCCTCCACTCTACCTAACCTGTTAGATACCTGGTCCTCCACTCTCCCTAACCTGTTAGATACCTGTCCCTCCACTTTCCCTAATCTGTTAGATACCTGGTCCTCCACTCTCCCTAACCTGTTAGATACCTGGTCCTCCACTCTACCTAACCTGTTAGATATCTGGTCCTCCACTCTCCCTAACCTGTTAGATACCTGGTCCTCCACTCTACCTAACCTGTTAGATACCTGGTCCTCCACTCTACCTAACCTGTTAGATACCTGGTCCTCCACTCTCCCTAACCTGTTAGATACCTGGTCCTCCACTCTACCTAACCTGTTAGATACAAGGTCCTCCACTCTACCTAACCTGTTAGATACCTGGTCCTCCACTCTACCTAACCTGTTAGATACCTGTCCCTTCACTCTACCTAACCTGTTAGATACCTGGTCCTCCACCCTACCTAACCTGTTAGATACCTGGTCCTCCACTCTCCCTAACCTGTTAGATACCTGGTCCTCCACTCTACCTAACCTGTTAGATACCTGGTCCTCCACTCTACCTAACCTGTTAGATACCTGGTCCTCCACTCTACCTAACCTGTTAGATACCTGTCCCTCCACACTCCTTAACCTGTTAGATACCTGGTCCTCCACTCTACCTAACATGTTAGATACCTGGTCCTCCACTCTACCTAACATGTTAGATACCTGGTCCTCCACTCTCCCTAACCTGTTAGATACCTGGTCCTCCACTCTCCCTAACCTGTTAGATACCTGGTCCTCCACTCTCCCTAACCTGTTAGATACCTGGTCCTCCATGTCACGATCGTCTTGAAAAGAAGCGGGCCAAGGCGCAGCGTGAGATGCGGACATATTTATTTTATTGTACACCACAGCGAACAAAACAACAAACGAAACGTGAAGTCCTTCGACACAAACACAAATCAAAAGGAACAAGAAACCACACGAAACTAATGCCTACAGCTACCTAAGTATGGCTCCCAATCAGAGACAACGAGCAACAGCCGTCTCTGATTGGGAGCCACCCTGGCCAACATAGAAACACAAAACTAGAACCTAACACCCTGGCTCAACATACGAGAGTCCCCAGAGCCAGGGCGTGACAGTACCCCCCCCCAAAGACGCGGACTCCGGCCGCGCCAACCAAACACAACAGGGGAGGGACCGGGTGGGCACTCCGCCTCGGCGGTGGATCCGGCTCCGGGCATGACTCCCACTCCCTCTCTAACCCCCCAAAGCGCCCCTGATCCGGTCTGGCCCTGCTGGCCGGAGCTGGACTGAACACTGGTGGAGCGGAATGCTCTAGCTCCGGAGTGTAGCAGCTGACCGGTGCCGGACCAGGCACCAGTGGAACAGGCACGGGCTGTGCCGGACTGACGACGCGCACCACAGGCTTGGTGCGGGGAGCAGGGACGAGCCGGACCGGGCTGACGACGCGCACCATTGGCTTGGTGCGGGGAGCAGGGACGGGCCGAACCGGGCCGATGAAGCGCACCACTTGCTTGGTGCGGGGAGCAGGAACAGGCCGGACCGGGCTGACGAAGCACACCATTGACTTGGTGCGGGGAGCAGGGACGGGCCGAACCGGGTTGACGAAGCGCACCATTGGCTTGGTGCGGGGAGCAGGGACGGGCCGAACCGGGCTGATGAAGCGCACCACTTGCTTGGTGCGGGGAGCAGGAACAGGCCGGACCGGGCTGACGAAGCGCACCATAGGCTTGGTGCGGGGAGCAGGAACAGGCCGAACCGGGCTGGCGACGCGCACCACAGGCTTGGCGCGAGGGACAGGAACAGGCCGGACCGGGCTGGCGACGCGCACCACAGGCTCGGTGCGAGAGGCAGGAACAGGCCGAACCGTACTGGGAACACACGCCACTGGCCCTAAGCGGGGATCAGGAACGGGCCGGACCGGACTGGCAACACACCCCAGTACCTCTCGCCGTGCCTCTACATACTCCTTCCCCCTGGTGTCCAGTAACTCCCTTAACCTGGCGGCCTCCTCTGCCAACCCTCTGAACCACTCTATCCCGTACTCCTGCTGCCCCGTCGTCCACGGCGTGAGCCCCCCCCTAAAAAATTTCTGGGCTTGTCTCTCCCCCATGGACCAGGCCATGGTTCTCGTCCAATTCTCTCTCCACTTCTCGTAATTCCAACCTTTCTCCTCATCACGCTGCTTGACCCAGTCGTGGTGGTTTCTTCTGTCACGATCGTCTTGAAAAGAAGCGGGCCAAGGCGCAGCGTGAGATGCGTACATATTTATTTTATTGTACACCACAGCGAACAAAACAACAAACGAAACGTGAAGTCCTTCGACACAAACACAAATCAAAAGGAACAAGAAACCACACGAAACTAATGCCTACAGCTACCTAAGTATGGCTCCCAATCAGAGACAACGAGCAACAGCCGTCTCTGATTGGGAGCCACCCTGGCCAACATAGAAACACAAAACTAGAACCTAACACCCTGGCTCAACATACGAGAGTCCCCAGAGCCAGGGCGTGACACTCCACTCTACCTAACCTGTTAGATACCTAGTCCTCCACTCTCCCTAACCTGTTAGATACCTTGTCCTCCACTCTACCTAACCTGTTAGATACCTTGTCCTCCACTCTACCTAACCTGTTAGATACCTGGTCCTCCACTCTACCTAACCTGTTAGATACCTTGTCCTCCACTCTACCTAACCTGTTAGATACATGGTCCTCCACTCTACCTAACATGTTAGATACCTGGTCCTCCACTCTACCTAACCTGATAGATACCTGTCCCTCCACTCTACCTAACCTGTTAGATACATGGCCCTGTGCCATAGATTTAGGAGAGATTTGTCAGCTACAATGTGTGTACTGATATCCTGCCAGTCTGTTTGTTGGCTCATTCCCTGTGCAGGTCATAACAGATCACATCTTGCTCTCTCTTTCATTCTCTTCTGCACATACACCAATCACTCTCTCTCCTACCTCACTATCTCATTCCCCACCTCTCTCTCTATCTCTGTCTCTCTCTCACACACACACACACGCAGCTCTGTCTCTTTCTTTTACACACATATCCGCAGCCACACACAGACGTGTTGCTCTGACCTGTGTGTGTGATGCGTCAGATGGTCCCTGCCTCTCCCCCAGTCATGCCCTGTGTTCCTAGAGGTTGAGGTGATTATAGTGATCTGATTATGCTTATTTCACACTTTATAAATATGGACACTCTGCCCTTTGACCTCTCTGACCTGCATAAGTGTGAATAATTCCCTGTAGGGAGATATTAATATACAAAGCAAAGCATCGGGCAGATGGAAAATAGTGGATATCATCATCTAAATTACTGCACCCTGAATCTAAGTGTTAATAATTAAATTATGTCATGTTTAGGAGAGCCTTAAAGTTGATTACAGCATAATCAATTACTGTTATAGAGGTCAAGGTCAAGTGTGGAGCCACACTAGAACAGCAGTCGATGTGAAACACTATGTGACTCTTCCACTGTGTATACAAAAGCTCATTGCTCAGTGGTAGATGTGAACCTACTATATAGCATGACTTATGAATGACATCTGAAGCATCTATAAAGGCCTCATAAAGAGTTTTCTGAAGACTTAATCTTTCTGATACTATATAGAAATCAAAATGTTTTACCTGCATGTGACTCTGAAGGAGGATTTGAGAAAGTGATGATCCTTTTCCTGCATCTGTAAATTACAAGATGTGCCCATCTCTTCTTGTACAATTCGATAACTGATGGGCCTAATATTGTCACTCATCAGATTATTGTCAATTTAATCGTGTCTATAGGCTAACTCTTATTATGAGTGAAATTAGTTTTGGTATAGTTTAGGTGTAGTTTCGATGGGCCGGCTGTGCAGGCTGACTGGCATCGTTTGTTTCCCGCTCATCAAATTGGATACAGTCATGGATATGTGTTGCATTATTCTAAAGGCCCTACTGCAACACATAGCATGTTTTCGTAGTTTGTTTAAAGTGGAACCAGGGAAAGAATAAGAGCGTGATACTTTAAGTTGAATGAGGATTCAGGGTCATGTGGAGCTGAGTCTTACTGCAACCACTGAGCCTCCTGTTCCTGGTCATCATTAGATAGGCTGCATACAGGACAAGGCCCCTATTACTGTTCACTTAATCTCTACTGAAGGACAAGCTACCCTCTCTGCTCTCTCTGCCCTCTGCAGAACCTAAATTGGCTCTAGCTAATCAGCAACAAATGCGGGTCTGAAGTGGGATCCTGACCGTTAGATCAAAACAGAATTTAACAAATGTACATGTGCACTGTCTCTGACTGAAATGGTCTGTATAGATTTCGTGTCATTATGTTTGTGCAATGCCTTCGGAAAGTATTTGTCACGACTTCCGCCGAGGCTGCCTCCCCTCCTTGTTCGGGCAGGTTTCGGCGTTCGTCGTCACCGGCTTACTAGCTACTGCCGATCCCATTCTCATCACTCCACTTGTCTTGTCTTGTCAATCACACACACCTGGTGCTCATCCCCTAATTAGTCTGTGTATAAGTGTTCCCACTGCCCCCTTGTCTTTGTGAGTGATTGTTCTATGTGGGAGGAGAGTAGCTCGGTTGAGATACTCTCTCATTTATTTTGCCAGGGTTGATTTCCCCCTGTGTCATTACATGTATTGTATTTTCTGAGACTGTGTTTGGTCAGGGAGGATTGTTTCCCCTGTACCTGTGTTTGGTCAGGGAGGATTGTTTCCCCTGTACCTGTGTTTGGTCAGGGAGGATTGTTTCCCCTGTACCTGTGTTTGGTCAGGGAGGATTGTTTCCCCTGGACCTGTGTTTGGTCAGGGAGGATTGTTTCCCCTGGACCTGTGTTTGGTCAGGGAGGATTGTTTCCCCTGTACCTGTGTTTGGTCAGGGAGGATTGTTTCCCCTGGACCTGTGTTTGGTCAGGGAGGATTGTTTCCCCTGGACCTGTGTTTGGTCAGGGAGGATTGTTTCCCCTGTACCTGTGTTTGGTCAGGGAGGATTGTTTCCCCTGTACCTGTGTTTGGTCAGGGAGGATTGTTTCCCCTGTACCTGTGTTTGGTCAGGGAGGATTGTTTCCCCTGTACCTGTGTTTGGTCAGGGAGGATTGTTTCCCCTGTACTGTGTTTGGTCAGGGAGGATTGTTTCCCCTGTTACTGTGTTTTTTGGTCAGGGAGGATTGTTTCCCCTCGTACCTGTGTTTGGTCAGGGAGGATTGTTTCCCCTGTACCTCCAGGTTGTTTTGGGTCAGGGAGGATTGGTTTCCCTGTTACCTGTGTTTGGTCAGGGAGGATGTTTTCCCCTGGACCTTGTGTTTGGTCAGGGAGGATTTGTTTCCCCTGGACCTGTGTTTGGTCAGGGAGGATTGTTTCCCCTGGGACCTGGGTTTTGGTCAGGGAGGAATGATTTCCCCTGGACCTGTGTTTGGGTCGGGAGGATTGTTTCCCCTTGTAACCTGTGTTTTGGTCAGGGAGGATTGTTTCCCCTGTACCTGTGTTTGGTCCAGGGAGGATTGTTTTCCCCTGGTACCTGTGTTTGGTCAGGGAGGATTGTTTTCCCCTGTACCTGTGTTTTGCGTCAGGGAGGATTGTTTCCCCTGTACCTGTGTTTGGTCAGGGAGGATTGTTTCCCCTGTACCTGTGTTTGGTCAGGGAGGATTGTTTCCCCTGTACCTGGTTCCATTGCCGTTTTAGGCGCATTGTATGTCTGGAAGGAATAAATCTG